AATTAAAATTATTTCCCAGAACAATATCCACATTATATTTAGAAGAACAATCAGGAAGCCAATTAATGACCATCTCTATCTTAACAATCAAATAGTTACAACAGAAAATTACGTGATATATTTAGGCGTCTCTCTTGACATTAAACTTGACTTCAAACTACATCTTACAGAAGGTTAAAGAAAAAAACAGTTTAAGCTCTTATGAGTGTCTATCCTATTTTAAATAAGCACTCTACTCTAAACCTCAGAGCTAAAAAAGTCATCTATTTACAGATGATCAGGCCAATAAAGCTCTATGGATCTCTAGTTTGGGCTGCTGCTGCTCAAAAGATGTTTTACAAAAACTCCAAACAAAGCCATCAGAATCGTGCTGGCTGCTTCGCGGTTCATAGAAGTCAAGTTTTACATCAAGATTTAAAGATTACTTTCATTGATCAGGAGATTCTTATTACTATACATAATTTTACAAGAATTGCTCAAGACATCTATCTGCGATTATTACTACACTGGTGAAATAAATTAATAGAATTTGCATATTTTATCGAATTGCATGAAAAGAACTGAACTGAAGGAAAAACCGCTACTTCTAGATAAGAATGCAAATCTTTTACGGCAAATACGTAAGCGAAGCCAGCAGAAAAACAGGCTTTATAAGCGTGTGGAGGGTAAGACGAATTGCGTTCGCTAGCACACCCCGGCGAATTTCTTGGTGTAATATTGGCAGCAATCGGTTAAATTCATATCGGAACAGTAAAAATGAGTAACCACCAACGTTTAGATGATGGAATGTGGTGGCGAATTGTGGGGAGGCTAGAGGCAGGCCAATCGCAAGTCCAGATATGCAGAGAGTTTAATTTAACGCCCAGCGTCGTGTGTAACCTATGGAGACAATTCCAGGATAATGGATGCATCGAGAGAAGCCTAAGCAAGGTCGTTCAACATCCATGCCTTCTTCGAGATTCAAACCCGCACCCACCGGTAAGGAAGTCAGCGTCACTAACTACTAAACCAGTTATCGGGAACCTATGTATAACCTATCGGGAACCTATGTATACACTGGGCGGCAATTATGGATATAGGTTGGAGAAAAGTTAAAAGTTCGACTCTCTTACTGTTATTTATCAATAAAGCCTTCTTCTTTTATAATAACAGACGCTTATGCGGCTAGCCACCTAAAATAATTACCATAAATGAATAAAGAATAATAAAAATAAAGAAATATAAAAGAATGATAAGAAAGATAAAGAATATATAAAAGATTAAATTAGCAACTTAAATTTCCCATCTCTATCCTAAAAATAGTAACCCCTCTCAGCACTGCGTCATTTTGAGAAAAATCTATGTCATATGACTCTTACGTAATTCTGGTGATGTAAATTGAACTAAAACTCAAGCAGCCAATGATAATTCAAGGATCAAGGAAGTTCGTGTTACGGAGTTCTTAGGCATAAACGCCTTTACCTCCACATCATCTGAAGAATAAAATGTCATCATTCAAAAGAGGGAATTTTCTAATACGGTAAAAATTTTGTTAAGCCAAAAAAAGCTTTTAAGAATAAGTGCCTTCACACTGAAAACAAATATAAAAACTCAGAAGGTCTAATTTGCGCCAAAATAAGAGCCAGAATAAATTAGATAGGGGCAGTCATCTTAGACAAAATTTTTGCTTAAGACTAGAAAATAAAAGCATGTGTTTCCTTGATACTTGATCTTCCTTTGCGAACGTCAACTTCGCGGAGGGGAAAGGACGGGGGGAGACGCTCTTACGCGTCTTGCAGCAATATTAACTATCCAATCAAAATGCTTTCAGAACCAAAACTAACTCAGTCTGACTTGAGATTTCATCCTGAACTATTACGCACTTGCTTTCCACACTTTGGCCTAGCTACGCCGCTGTCTGTCTGCTGCTGCTTTCTTGCTACAAAGTAATAAAAGAATGTAAGCCTTTTGAAAATAAAACTAAAGATTTAATCTGCTTTCCGTCCAATTTCCTGGTCATTGCTTCTGAGTTTGAATAAATTACATATATATATATAAAATTAAAAAGTAATTCTTCAAGCTATAGCCTACGAGTAAAGTGATACTTTGTTCCTATGCAAATAAGTATAAACACATAGTAAAGATCAAATTGTAATATAAAATGTAAAAACATAGAATGTATGAAAAAATAAGAAAGAAAAAACTAAAGATGAACGCTTAACTTGATTGAAATTTAAAAGTTAAAATGTATGTAAAATACGATAATAATATCGTATGTAAATGCGATAAATTTTCAATATGATATTTTGTTGTATTTTATCTAATATGTAATGAGATAGCTTACACTTTATTTTACATACATTTACATACATTTATATGAGATAGCTTACACTTTATTTACATATACAATCAAGTTAAGCATTCATCTTTAGTTTTTTCTTTCTTGTTTTTTCATACATTCTATGTTTTTACATTTTATATTACAATTTGATCTTTACAATATGTATATACTTATTTGCATAGAGACGAAGTATCACTTTACTCGTAGGCTATAGCTTGAAGAATTACTTTTTAATTTTATTTTCAAATTTTGCAGCTCAATGCACAAAATTCTTGACCTCCCAGGTCCTTTCAGTTTAGTTCATAAGCTTTTCTTACATTATATATATATATATAATCATTTTAAAGAGTCCGGCTAACAAAATTTATTATTTTACACACACACAAAATTTAATATTTCTTATTAAAATTTAATAATTCTGATTAGATATCTTATGATTTAAACGAATTTTTATTTAAATGAATCAGAAAAAGTAGAAAAAATATTCTTAAAAACTGTATTTATTGTTTTTAAATCGCTTAATTTGTTAATTAATAACAGACGAACTAAATTTGAAAGCTAAATATCTTACGCTTTACCGAATGGCAACACGTGGAAGATAAAGTATTTTATGTCAGGCAGTGGCTACACACTGCTTAAAAATGTGCAAGTTTGTTGATCAAAACGGAAAAATAAATATCTAGAGCTGGAGATAAAAATATTTTATTTTGAACAGTGTTGGTATTGCTCACTTTCAAATCGCTGAATTTCTTAATTAGAAATTCAGTAACTTAGTGTATACAAAATGTATGAAAAACAAACTTGAAATTCAAAATTCGAGCTTCGAGGTGCACACCTTCGGATGGAAGGTTCGTGTTCAAAATCTGGTGGCTCTAGGTACCGTCGTTTTTAGGCAATGCGAGGGTCAAACAAACATACAAACAGATTCTTCATTATTTAATAGCGGATATTAAAAATTAGTTTTTCTTTCAGGCAGGAATTAGGGTTAGGTTATTAAAAGCCTTAGCAATGAGATTTAGGAAATTATACTACATCAAAAGCTTTAGCTATGATATGCCAAAAAACTTAACCGTTCTTCTCAAACTCTTATATTTGTTATCTTCTACAAATACCCGTCTCAGAGGTTTATTTTTAATACTTTGCGGACGACTCACGCAAAATTCTGACATAGGTAATCAAGAGTTTAATGTCAAAACAGAAATTTTATTCGTTTCTCAGTAAATTTCCAGACAATTTTTAATAGCTCAAATCAGTTCTTCGTATCTTAGATAAGTGAACGTATTTTCAGTCATGTTTTAATAATTTCAAACTGAGTGGAAATAAGAATTACGATCTGTATGAGGTTGTACTCGCATATGCACTTCAGTTAGCTGAACTGAAAATGTGTTAAGCTATTTCTCTAAATATGTTCTTCGACGTATATATTTTAATTTTCTGAACACGGAAAAGTGAAAGCAGAGCACAGGCATTTAATCTATTACCAACCATACCGGAGAAGTTTTCGGACCCATAAATTTTACGTGCCTCTGCTCCATGAAGACATTACAGTTTCAAATACTTACACTTAATTTCAAATTAACGCCTAAACACTTAAATTAACTCAGCCATTTACTTTCAAATGCACATTTATTTTGTGAGATTAAAACTTAATGAGAAATATTATATCTGTTATATATCTATGGGAGAGGGGTAAGAAATAATTATTCTCTTCCTCTAAATTCTGTAAAACAGTTCACACCATCATGCGTATATATATTTTTACAGCTAGAAAAGTGATGATCTTCCATAAAATTTTCAGTACATTTTTATGGTTACGTATTACTGCAAATTTAAATAAATAAAAGGTTTTAGTTAATTTATTGCAAAATTATAGAATACATAAAGTATCATACAACATTAATTTAACATACAGATCTTTGTATTATAATTAAGTATTAATAAATTAATTATTTCGAAACAGTGTGATTTAAAAATATACTCCTTTGTTCAAAAAAGTTGTCAGAAAATGTTTGAAGGGCAATTTGAAATGTAAAAAAGAAAATTTACTTAAAAATTTTTGAAGAAACATGCATCGAAATACACACTCCTGGCATTTCTGGAAGTAGTAGTAAAAAGCCTCTTTAGGTACCTTTCCATAGACTGGTCGTCGTATTGTTTTTGGTACTCCAAAAACTGTTTGAAAACGTTAAATCCGTCAAACACCTTGACAAGAGAAAAAAGGGGTCAGGAGAAAATATCTGAAATACTGCTGGTATCTAATATGTGCTTGAGGATGACATAGATATGTTTCTGACCAAAGAATTCCTAGCCTTTTTTTGCACAGGCGCCTTTTAAGGCGATCGCGCCGAATAATCGAAATATGCTTTAACTCCGTTTGTCCAACAGCAAGAATTAGTCACTTCATTCATAACAGTACACTGACATTCATCAGTAATCAAATTCAGTTACTGCAGCTGATTTTTTGTGAACTTTTGGAATACACAGGAGTATTTGCCATCAACATTTAACAGTATTATGACAAATTATTTAACAACATTTCATACACCTTAATTCATGAACATCAGAGTAAGAATATTTTTCTTATATTTTCCGTAAATGGAAATAATAATAATAATAATGATGATGATTATTCAAGACGTTACTTTAAGATAGAACAAAATGAAGAATATAGTTTTCCTACCTCTTCTTCGTACGCTTCTTCTTCACTCTCTCCACCTTCGTACGGGACATTTTCGTCCCAATCCACCTGGAGAAGCTCTTGGACATCCGGCTCATTCTCCTGATCACCGATGAAATGGAAAAGTTCGTAGTACCACAAAGAGGGCACATAGACTGGTTCCCCCGTCTGACGGCTTCTTTCCCTGGACGCCTCTACTTTTCGTACTTCCTTTCTGTAATTGGTCCTCAATGCATTTATTTTCTTCTTTACCATTTCTACGTCTGCATTTGGATAAAGTTCTCTCAGTTTGGCCACCATTCTCCTATACGCGATGTTCTTGATGGTTTTATTGTTGTAGTGGCAAGAACGGACCTTCCACAATGAAGGTTCGCTTCTGTAGATTTCGATGAATTCTTGGATGATCTGTCTCTCCATGTTACTTATTGATCTCCAACCACACATAAGTCAAAACTAAACAGAGGTTAGTGTAGTGTTGATTTAGTATCAAAGGGATCCAATCTCAGCAACCACCTTTTGAACTAATGAATTGATATGAAGTGTTAAAGCGAAATTTTGCGCAGAACAGAGAAGACTACTAAACATAAATATTTGAAAAATATGTGCGTCTGTGCACATAAACGAGAATACCCAAACCCTAAAACTCTAAATCTAAGAGTCATAAAAGTAACTTGAAGTACAGGCAGAAATGTAGTTAAGCGAAATTGTTAAGTACTTGATTTAAAATTGACATAATTTAACAGTTGACGCCTACATAACTAACCCTAAATTTTACGTATCTAATACATAAAGCAATGAAAACATAACTTAAATTTTTAACATTAATTGTAAAAATTCGTTGAAGTTTGATAATTAATTGAGCTTGATTTTGAGAAGGTTTCTTAACTTATCAAATCCTACAGAGACACATCTAAAGTGCATTAGAAGGGGGAAAACATTTGAGGTCTCTTATTGCTAAAAACAGAAAGATTATGCCTTTCCTGTATATAAAAAGAAAGGCATGTACCTCATTTACAAAATTATATTCCAAAAATTATACTGATTAAAAATTAAGAGTTTGAATCAATTGCTCAGAGGGAGGAGGCAGGAAAATTTAAAAAGGAATAATAGTTCAGTCAAAAAAATATTAGTCCTACTTATAAAATTGATTAAAGGCTTGAAATAACTACCAAGTATGTTTGCAGTTAATTATAAATTGTTCTCTAAGCGCAGAAATCGACTCTTAAAATTCTTTCCTGGTCAAAGCTACAAGCCCGCTGCAAGTAAAAAAAAACACCCTCGTAGCACTAATTCGCCGGATGAAAGTCGCTCGATACAAAAAAATGAATAACTGCATATTTACGCATCCGATTTCAGCTTAAATTATCAGCTCTATGAACATCATCCCAGCTACGCATCTCGCTAGCTGCCTTAATCCACTGACTTGTCAATTCACTTGTCAAGCCTTCAATACTAAAAGAACATTACGACAGTTTATTGAAATCACCTACATCGGCTAAAGTGGTTTCTCCCTGTTCTTTCTGCGCAGGCGCGAAAGCAACCTCTACACTTTCTTTCCTCTCAAGCGCACTGACAAGTCTGACAAGTGCACTACCCGTAACGACGAAGGGTAAGACGAGAAAGGAGTAATATTCATCATTTGAGGACTTTTTTTTGCTGTACTTGAAGAAGGATAACATTTAGAATGAATTTATTAATTTTTTATGTTATTCTAGGTCCAATAAATCGTGATACTGAAAGTATAATAATTTCAATGCAAAATGCATGAAACTTCTCTGGGTATTTATATAACTTCCAAATTTGATAAGGAATAGAGCAGTTTTATTCGGTGTAACAGAAAAATTCCATCCTTTATTTATTTTATTTATTAACCTCGAAAACATGTTAGGTGCTTTTAAAAACACTATTTTAGGAAATACTTAAAAGCTTGATTTTAAAGGGAAAGAGAATATTTACATTTTGTATTACGTTTTATGTTGTGATCCATAGTAAAAGTAATCCAGATTTAAAATTAGATTAAGTATTAAACAAAAAATTAAGTAAAATCAAAGCTATGATGATATGATTCTATAATTTGATCAGGGTTATAGCTTTAATTTTGCCTGTATTTCGGACAATAATCGTTTAGTCATTTTTACGCTAAAATTAATTAATTTATACGCTGAAGTCACGAATTGTAAAAATGTAAAGGAATTTTCGAAAGTGATGTCATAGTAATTACAAAATGTAAAATTAAAATTTGAAAAATCTATGAAAAACAGAATAAGAAATTAAAAAGAAAGTTTCTTTAATGAGTTTGGCTAAAATAAATTATAAAATAGCTATTGAAAAGTACAATTTGCTTATAATTTGCTTTGCTTCAAAAGCAGCTTTTTTTTTATTTTTTATTTCTCGTATTAAAGAAAAAGCATCGTAGACAATAAATATACAAAATTGACAACTGTTACGAAATAGGGGGGGGGAAGACGAAGAGAAAAGTCAGTTGTGTACCGTAAATTTTACCCTTTTTATAAAGAGCACAATTTTAAGTTACACATTAAGTAAACAAAATTAATTAAATGAATAAACTTTTTATTTAATGGCAATCGAGTGAAATATGAAGCTTCATTTAACACCATGATTTGCAAAGACGTGAAATGACGCTTCATAAATTCCATAGAATGAATAAAAGTCTATTAAAGGCTTGCAAAAACCTAACGGATATCAATTCCACGTGTGTTCAGATATTTTGAATAATTATGCGAAATTTCTTGAGGTAAAATAAAGTATTTGTATGTCGCATTATTTGATCTATTTCCATCTATAATAAGTATATATATACAAAGCAGATGTAAGAAAAAGCTGCTGTTGAATTATTGCGTTCTTTCAACCATGCATAACGCTGTTTTGAACATGACCCTGAATCAAGTGGGAATAAATGCAAGTGCAATGATTGGCACCTGCTTACGAGTTAACACGGGTCGCTGACAGGTGAAACCATTATTTCAGAGAAGCGACTATAAGGGATGTACGTATAATGTTTAATGGTAAGTTTCGTATAATGGTAAGTTTCGGGGAATTTTGCACAATAGGAATAGGAGTGCAGAGCGTTTTGAAGAATCATTCTCACAATTCTCTAAGCGTACTTGCGCTTGAATCAAGTTCACTAGGTCAAACATCAGCGCGTTTACAAAAAATTAGTGTTATTTAACCCTTTGCAGTCTTTAAAAAATTAGCAGCAAATTTTCTTTCTATTTCATATATATTATATTGTTTTGTTAAATCAGTGGTTCTCAATCTTTTTTTCCCCCACACCCTCTTTCACCACTTGTTAGACGATCATTAGTCCACTCCTTCCCAACGCTTGTAAAATACATATAAGTTTATTCAAATCTAGATTAGTTATTTTTTAATGTGCTTTATAAATTAAACAAGAAACAGTATAGAACATGTCGATAAGTAACAAAATTTGAAAAAAAAGTAGTTTTTATTTTCATAAACTTAAACATAAAGCTTACAATGCCGTCCAGACTGCATAGCGCTTAGGGTAGCCTACTGGCATACGAAGTGCGCGGGCTCGAATTCCGGAGAAGGCTTAGATGTTTAAAAATGTATATAGTCTTTGCGACACGAGGGCACTCGAAATACATGGCGAGTCGAAAATCCTCTTTTGTGGTTTAGGAGAGAGAGCTTTGCACCCCCCTCCCCGCGCCAGGGCGCTCTCCCTCAAAATAGAGGTGAAAGAAATCCAACCTCCTTCAGCCTCTGGCAACCATTTTGCATGAAATACATGAACAAGACAACACCAACAAAAACTTAAAATTCCCATCCCCCAGAAACTATGAAATCCCCCCACGGAGGATCACCCTCCGGTTGAAAGCCCCTATGTTAAATATTTGGTCTTTTTTTCTTTTCTTGTCTTTCTTTGTTTCGGGAAAGTAGACTTAATAATTTAGAAAATCATATTTATGATCTAGTAATTATTAAATAGCATAATAAAGTTGTTTTCTGCAGAAAACAGGATAATAAATTTAAGTAAGTACAGTATTTCTTCTGTTTCTGTGAGAAGATGTTACGCTTTTTAAGACACCGCTGATTTGTTTAACACTTTTCTTCCGATTCGAGCTATTTGTATCTAAAACTGTATAAAATATGTATTTGATCTGAATGTAGATAATGTCACACAGTTAATGAGCGAGACTTAAATTCAATATTAATCACCAATGATTTGTGATACAAAAGTCTTCCAGGTACCATACTTCAAAATTTTGCAATCCCCCATTTCGAAAACTTCGGAACTCTGTTAATTAGACCTTGGAATCTGTTGAGTAGTTCTGTTACCATTCTCATGAAACTTATCTACAAATGGTTAACTGGCGCACAGATACTTCATTTTTAACGGAAAATTGTCCACATATCCCACACCTAGGGCAGGGATTCTCAACCAATGGGTGGGGCATATAATAGTTTCAGGGGGAGGGGGGAATGCGTTCAGCCTTTCATTTAACTATTCAGTATTTAGTTTTAGTTTATTGGGAGGGGGGGACTACTTTTTTTTCAAGTTTTTTAATTTATCAACCCTTTCTGTACTTTTTAGTGTTTAATTAATAAAACATGTTAAAAAATAATCCAAATTTTAATAAATGTATTTTTCAGGTTTTGAAAAAGAGTGGGAGGAATGAACTACTGGCAATGGTGAAAGAGGGGCATAAGGCAAAAATGTTTTTTAATAAATCAGTTATTCCAAGAAATGCCTTGTTAAGTGTACATAAGAATGGTAGGCTTAATCCGAGTGTATTTATAGATTTATATGCTGAAAAATATAAAAATAAAAATGAAATTAAATCTATTCTAGAACTTATTGCATTTTTTTACCTAAGGAATTATTAGTTAGAAATATCATATAATGGGTTATTAGTTACTAATTATCACATACAAAATAGATATTGCAACTTGTTGTTAGACGTAGAATGTAGTACTTAGCTTTACTGAAGAATTTAACAGCCTAAAATTTGGAATAAATAAATTCTTTTAGTAAACACAGTTGAAATGCACAGATCCGGTTACTTTACAATTTCAGAAATTTCTATTCTGTACTGACAAGATTTTTCAGAATTCTACTCCAGTTAGCATCACGAAGAATTTGTCATCCATTAACGGTAACTGTTAGTGGACGACTGTTGGTGCCAACTAATTACACAGGATCTTTTATTTTTCTTTGTTCTTATAACACTGATATATGCTCATCAGAGGGAAATTGAAATTTTTTGTGCATTTTTGAATAACATTTAGCAATAAGTATTATTTTATATTATAAGCATGATAAATACAATGCGTTTCTAATATTTTGAATACAGGATGGCCACAGAAAATCTTTCCCAATATATGAACACCCAGGGAGCCTAACTTCTAGCGGAATATCCGCTCGACTAATCCAAATAAAACTTTATTATTTGAAGGTATGCTCCGTAGATAGTGATTGTTTAAAACAACAGAGCTCTTACAATTACGCTACAGCAAAAAAATTCCGAAATTTTCGAATGGTAACACTTTTTTTTCCTGCACAAATTGATCAGCGCACTGAAAAACCATAAATGGCGTTGGAGCGATATATGTATGACGAAAATTGCTGGTGTAAAACATTTGCAAAGAAAAGCATTGTAAAGGAGCAATGACAATATAAGAGAGGGGACGAATTTTTTTTTTATTGGAATAACAAGTTTTCAACGTGCCTACCTTTGCAGACGATAAAGCATTGCATGCGGGAGATTTTTGACAACAATGATGAACGTAACATCGCAGGAGGAAACTGCATAACTTCACGTTTTACGGCATCTTTCAGTTCTGACAAATTCGTGGATTTGATAAGCATGCCTTAGATTTCAGATAACCCCAGAACCAGTAATCCGTCGGAGAAGGCGTATGTTTGTAAATATATACTGTCTTTGCAGTCCTAGACATTTAGGAAACACGGCTAACCGAAAGTCATTCCAAGTAATATGATCATAGGGCAAGAAGAGTGGGATATCAATGAATCCTTCTTTAAAAATGGGGCGATTTTGGGCAAAAGGGCTCTGTCATATGTAAGCAAGACCGGATGAATACTTTTAGAATCCCTAAGCACTTAAAATATTTTAGCGCTTCTGCATATATTTATGCCAATTTTTTAATTCATTCTGTTCCCTTGATCTTGGTTTAACTGCATCATACATGGCATGGTAAAATCGGCAACAGAAAATTTTTGTGGTGTTTCCTATTCTGAATCCTTATAAGCAACATTTCGTAGAGCCACCTTTCCTTGATGCCCTAAGCACAAAGTACTAAGTTTGATACCTAAGCTGATTTTGCTTAGTGATTAATCCAGCTCTGACTATAAGGATCCGTTCACGCACTGACTTTTGGGTCGTAAAAAGTATATGCCGAGCTTCGTTGCCAGGCAACCAGACCTTGCTACGTCCCAAAAACTGGCTTAAAGATTTTGCCTGAAATCTTTAACTCTACAATTT